ATTTTCAGTAACCACAGCTGTTATTTACTTTTGTTATATATATATATATATATATATATATATATATATATATATATATATATATATATATATGTCAAACGTAACTTTAAAAACATTACTTAAAAATGTAATGCCTTGAAATTGGGGCCTCTTTCGCTTTAAAAACTCCTTCTCTTTCTGAAGCTCAGCCTTCAGGAAGTCATCACAACATGGCTCCCAGATTAACCCTTTAGCAACATTTTTACCAGTGTTGCCCTCAGCATATGTTCCAATTAGCAAGCAGGTGTTTGCTAATTACTGCTGGCTAGTCTGAAGGAGCCAAGTGAGAGAGTCGCTCTTCACTCAGCTTCTTCAAGCTTCTGTGAGGAGGAAGCTTGGAAACTGCCGTTCCAAGGAGGATCTGCGTCTTTACGGCGGAGCTAGGTCCACCCAACGAAGGACGGTTGCCATGGAGATTAAAGGATTTCTCAAACATGCATTAAAGAATCAAAGCAAGATGCCAGGTGTGACTTTTTGATAAGAGAACAACATTAAAACAGTATATAAAGCACAATTAGTCAACTTTACATAATAATGCACCTTTAAATACAATACAAACATTTCCCCACACTGATAACCAATCATAATTAGGCATAACTTAATTGCTCTACCATAATAAAAGTCTATAAAAAGAGATAGATTCAATGTTGTGAAAACTGGAGGTAAGTTTCTTCTCCACCGTCTGTAGAAAGCATGGCTTTTTTTTTTTTTTTTTTTTGCACTAAGCTAACACGCATTAAACTGAAACGACTGACCCTGCAAGGTAGTGGGAGTAAATGCCAGCATTCCTAACTTTCAAAAGCCATTTTCGCACAAGGTGGGATTTACAGTGTGCCGAAGAAGTCTCTTGCTGTGATGAGCATTCACTCGAGCAACCCTCACGCTGCGCAAAGCCTGTCCTGACAGCTGCAGACAGCAAAGCACAGCAGCAGAGCTCAGACACGCAGGCAAAAATCCAGATGATTATAGATTTTTCTTAATGTGCTATAAAGCCCGGGCGTCTGCAGAGCGTCCTGATTCAATTTCTCAAGGTAAAACCAAGCAAGAAGGAAAGAAAGAAGACATTTAAGCTGTTGAGATATCACTAAATATATCGATGTGTAATTTCCTGCTAATAATTTTCATTCGCAATTCATTTTGTGAATTAACGGCCGCCGCGAGTCCGGCAGCGTTTAATTACAGCTACCGTGGAAAATAAAAAACGGCCAGCGCCTTTTCATCTTTTCATCCGTCACGTGACACAGATGGAAGATCTCCACATAAAGTGGGTCTTCAAGTCCCTGGGCCGGCACCCGTCGGCGCGTGCGGAGGTTTGGGGGGGGGGGAATCGGGTGATGTTAATTTCATTTCAAATGAGCGCCTAATTGAGGCGCCACTCCTCTCCAGGGTGCAGAGCTCACGCCTCGTTTTAAGACCTCAGAGTGTCCCCGACAGTGTGAATAATGCAGGTTCATCAGCAAATCTTTTTGTTCTCCTGGACTGATGTGCTGCCAGACCCCGAAAGTTTGACAGAGGCCTAAAGAACCGAGAGATTGTTCCCCAACAAACATGCTGCTACCTATTAGTATTTCCTTTCGTTTGAAAGTTTGCTTTGTGTTTTCCTGTTATGAAAGAAAGATCCCGAATCCTCTGCGGTGAAGAATTAGACATACTCGACTTGCAGCATCCATGCAGATGCTAACCGGAGACCATAGATCAGAGCACAAGCTGCACAAATAATTAATACTCAAGGGCACTGGAGTTACGGTGCTGAAGGATAGCAGAAGTGCATACAAAGGAAAAAGAAGGGATAATAAAAGGAGAACACGCCGCTGAAGCTTTATTTGCGCCTGATCCGAGGAGCACATGCTTGTTCCAGGTGAGGCGTCAATCTGCAGCCTTCCCCATCGAGGCTTTTAATAAAAACGCCGACGCTTCACGGGCTGCAACGATCCTCCCATTTCATGTCGCGCCCGCGTTTGTTGTCTCGCCGCGCCGTCACTCTACTGTCTGCTTTATTGTTGCGATCGCGCGCCGTCGACATTCGCGAGAGCATCGGGGCTTTGAAACGCGTCGCCCCGTTCTTCCGAAGCTATTTAGGTCGAGATCAACAGGTAGATTTCAGAGGATGCAGTCTGCACACACGCGCACAGTTGGGCTTTAAGCTGGAACGTCTCTGATGTCCTGTGAATGTTTTCATCTCGATTCAAAGGAAAATAAATAAATCTTACAACATATGATTTGATTCATATTCTCTACATTTTCTATTGTAGATCTAAGAGTTGAATGATCAGCAGACAATGTCAGATCTTCAAACTTGACCCAATTTGAAGTGAAATACCCAAATAAAACACATTTATGAATTATAAATATACTCTTACTGATTTAAAACTAGTCAACTTCACGACTTCATTTGGCTTTTTTTCTACTAAAATGGTTTTATTAGCACAAAAAGAAAACATATCTTAGATTGATACTCATCCATACTTTATTGCTTTTTTTTAAATTTTATTTTATTATTCCTAAACAGTAAGGTTAAAGTTGGACTCTTGTTGCTAAAGGCTTTGTTTTCTTTTTAAGATATCTTTTAGAAACAATAATATCGTACACGGCATCACATGAATCTGCACAAATTCACTCCTGAGGTATGCCAAACCCACAGGGGGCAGTGTAGCACGAGGCTAAAACCTGCCAGCCAATCAGATTGCTTTATAAACAACCACAACTTCCTGCTAGGAATTAAACATGGTGCCGGGAGGTTCATTTTAAAGACCGAGTGTATTAGAATAAAAAGGTAATAAAACACAAGATCATGTCGATTGGGAATTGTGGCAAAGCATCATACTGGTGCATTATTTGTTGACTGTAATTTGTGGGAATAAATGGCAGTTTTTCAATGTACACATACAAACACAAGTAGAATATTCTCAAATTTCCACTTTCGTCAAAGTCTTTATAAATAATAGCTTTTAGTAATATTAAAAACACACCCAGATATTCGGCGATTTATGGATTAGGGCTAACTCTTGTCACTACGTCTATTGAGGAAAGCTTGTGCCCAGAAAATTTGACCATTTTTCTGGAAATCCTCGTTTCTGGCTTTCGCTCTAATACTGGACAAAACAACAAACTTTGTTTGCTTCACAGCCGTTATCCAAGGGACTCGAGAGTCAGTGCGGGTCAGCTGGGCGGCTCTCCGCTGCAGTACAGTCCTCCCTGAGGAACTGTAGGGTCACCGGTTTGGCTGCGTTTCTCTCCTTGACCTTTGCCCTCCGAGATTTCACCAGAGCCTTTAGTTGCAATGCCGTATTACACACTGCACATGTTTACAGCGACATGCTCTCTTACTTTGAACTCCCATGTGTCTCTCGAACTGATTCAGACTGCAATAAACTCATGTGGCCCGAGAGTTGACGATATCACTCAGAGAATATTCATTTTTTTTGTTGTTGTTTCTAAGCACAAATGGCTAAAATCTGCAAACACCCCACAAAAACTGCCTGTTTTATAAGCTTCAGTATCACATGCATGGAGAGATAGGAATAATTTAGGAGTCTTTTTCTCTATTTTTTTATTTATTTTTTTTTGCATCTAACCAAATATTGAACATGTGGAAGCCTCCTGTAATATATATGCCACCCAAACAGACCAGTGGAGACTCGGAGCCATAAATGTATCATGTTACCTCGATGTCGTTCATCACTCGCCGTCCGTCTCATCCGTCTTCACTTGGCCATCTGCACGCTGCTGGCGATTCATCATCGCCGCCGCGGTAGGTGAGATGTCGGCCTAAATGGCTTTTCCCCTTTGACCCTGTTGGCAGAGAAAACCCACAATGGCCACATGAATTAAGGCAGACAGCATACTGTACAACAGAAATAGCAAAAAAAATAAAAAAAACAACCTTCTGGGAATAATAGAAGTGAGATATCGTTACAATATTTTGATATTATATCCTGCATTATATCCTGACCTGGTTTTGTAAAACCAGGGAAGTGTCTCATCAAAAAAGTTTAATTAGCAGTGAAACATTAAACACAGTCATGCTCCTGGAGGAAACGGTAATTAGACGGAAAATGCAATTTTTATAACAAATACTCATTACACACCAGATTCAAATGAGTGCCCGCACACCGCAGCGGTTTGACAAATTGACCGCGGCCTCCCCTGCTCTATGAAATGAACCGACGCCGCTTAGGGGCCGAGTCACACCAATCCATGCGCATCGATTTCAGCACGACGTGTCGTCCGGTTGTCTTTCGTCGGGACGGCGTCGACGGTTCATTTCTGAAAGTTTTTTAAAACCAAAGCGGAGCCACAAACGAGGGACGGATGGCGGGAAATCGCCGGGCTGTGAGGCGGCGTCGTGGAGCGTTTGTTTTGCGGGCGAGCTCTACAGGCAAAACTGTCAACGCAACAAGCAACGAGGAGCCGGAGCGGGTGAATGTTCACGGCCGTGATTTATTCATGGGCTATTGCAGTGGGGGAAATGCTCCATTTTCAGACACATCCATTATTTAAGGAAAGGACCCTGTAGACATCGCTCAACAGATTGCGGCGTAAAAAATGGATGCAAACCCAAACTGGAAGTGTGCGTCTGAATCCCTGCTTCAGGTTTCTTAAAGTCAGGAGGACCGCCTGACAGTGGTGTTGTTTTTTTTTAGTATTCTTATTATTTTCGGTGAAGGCCCGTTTTTAAGCTTTTCTATAAAAGATAGCAATCACCACAGTTTCCTCCACACACACACACAGACGCACACACACACACACACATCTGCTCCTTTGAGATAGTTACTGTTGAGCTCCTGAGAAAAATGTGTTGTGACAGAAACGTTTTCACAACACAAGTTCTCTTCTCTTTGAGATTTATTGGAGATTGGAAGCCTCTACAGATTACAGACACCATTTCCTTCCCGTACTGTAAGTAAATAAACAAGTACAGGGGAGTGAAAAAGAGGAGTGGAGAAGTAGGAAAAAGCGAGAAATCCCAAATATTTTTTTCATCTTCTTCCATGCAGCACCGCAAAACAGTCTAAAACTCAGCTTGAATTTTTCCCCCCACATTTTGTAGCATCAAAAACACGAAATGCAATGTTTTTCTCTTCCAGTATTGCCTTAAGTTTGATTCCTTGATGCCTGTTTTATTAGCTCAAACTCCAAAAAGGCCTTCATATGCATTAACACACACACTGAGGAAACTGAATCGGCAGATAAATCATCTACAATCTTCCTTATTTCCTCTCTTTGTGCTACAGCCAATCAGGGCCAAGGAAAATATATGATGTTTTTTTTTTCTTTTTCTAAATTTCCACACAGAACGTCTCTCCTCATCAGCACACATCTACCAGCAGTCATACGCCGAAGCCCTTAATGTTCTGCTTCCTGACAGGCGCTCTCTTGCGATTCTGCGACCGACTGTTCTCGCTCAAAGCTGCAGGCGGAGTGACGCTGCAGAAACAGACAGCAGAGAAGACGGCCTGCTGCAAGCGGCGAGCGCCCATCCCCCGTCATGCTCCGCAAAATGTCTTGAAACGGTTCTGAAAGTACTAATTTTTTTTTTTTTCTAAGGAAAAGCTTGAGTGAAGAACGTAAAAGAGGGAGAGAACACGTGAGAGACGCATCTGTCAGACATGTCCTCATAGCTTACCACACTTTGAGCTCTTTTAATCATATATTCTCCGAGGCGATCCGGAATCCTAATTTTGAGCGTTTGAAGCCGTGGTGAGAGTAATCAGTGAATATTTGAAGCTCATGGTGTAGGATCAGGTTGTTTGTGCGTCTTCGGGGCCTGACTGAAATTTGACAACACTTGACGTTTCATCATCTTCCTAACAAGAGCTTGCAACATGCAGTATTATTTTCTGTAGACGTGTTTATTTTTTACTGCAATGCTATTTTTTTTTTTTACTTTTTAAGTCCAAAACTTATTTGATTCTTGATTTTCTTTCACATTATATGTATTTTTTTTGTCACAATTGTTAAAGATAGTTAACTTGTGAAATTGAATAACAGGCTCTAAATCCTTGGTGACAAAGTGATTTCCAGTAGTAGTGATTCTTGCGTCACCTTGAAGGAAATTGGACTCTCAGTCATTTGCCAAATTGTTTTGATGCGGCTACTTATTCGGCTAGGAAGCCTCGGAAATCGCTTTGTAATCTTTTCCTGACTGATGGACGCCATTGACTCCGTTTAAATCCAGCCGCGATGTGGTGGCTTTTCATGCCGTCAGGCAGAAGCTGCCGAAAGTGATTTCTTTTGACAGTAATCCCCTCAGGTGAAGCTGGTGAAAAAGAGCCCAGCTTTCTTAATTACAAATATTCCCTTATTTAACAAAAGGGTGATTACCGTTTTTAGTGGTTCACACTGTGCCAGGTGGGCTTAGACCGCACTTTGTCGCAATAAATGAATTTGAAAACTGCCATTTCAGGTTTTCAGTGAGGTTTGCCCTGTTAGTCCACTTTAATGCAACTCTGGTTTGTTTGCTGAGGGAGTCCGGTTGGTTTGGAGGAGGCGTTGACGCGCAATCTGACTCTTGTTCGCCTGAAAACATCCGTCTTGGTTCGGTTGTAGTGCGATTCGAATGCATAGGAAGTGGACTTGAGCGCTGGGCATTCTGGGTAAATACAACCTAAGCAAATCTAGCACTAGCGGGAGAGATAACTTGTCGTCTTTTACCAAAGACGAAAAAGAAATCCTACAAATGCTAAAATCGTTTTTGGTTCACATTTTGTAAAGAAGGAAGTTCAGTCTGCCTTGTAGAGGAGTTTTGGCTACCTCCTAAACTCAGGCAATGAAATTCTCCCTTCGAGTGGCTTATCGGTTTGGAGCAGTGTGACATTTTCCTCCTGTAAATCCTTATAGGTAGTTTTCTCCTGGTGTTTCAGATGGATCCGAGGCTTAAAAACAGGCAGCTTCCAAGGTTTTATCAATATTTTCCTGCCTGCCAAGAAACAAAACCCAAATTTGCATCGAGGCTCGGAAACACGAGACAGCTGCCTTCAAAGTCCTAAATCAGCAAACAGATACGAAGCTGCGACTCGAAGGCATCTGCAACAGTGACAGATGAAAAAATGCCTATAACTGAGGAGTTTCTCGCGAGCACAAATGTAAATTGCACTTTTGATTTGCCGCAATATGTAAAGTAGGAAAGTGTTGGCTTTAAAGAGAACAGTGGGCCTCTGGAAAGTTGTCAAATGATTTCTTTATGTGCTGGAAAGCTCCTGCTAGAGCTCCTAATTAACTGTTTTATCTCATTCGAAAGGAAGAGCCCGGGCCAGCGCTTCCTAAACTTTAACAAATAATTAGGCTTAATAGTCAGTGAGGACATCCAAGCTGATATTTTGTTTCTTTAGGGCCTCAGGAGGAGTTCTTCTTTGCGTTTCTTTGTGATGAGGGACGAGGGCAGCTGGTTGCAGACTTCAACTCCAATCTAACCGGAAATGTGTGACTATGAGTTAGCTTGTTTGAATCCTACACTTTCATTATTGCTGAGAGCCTTCGGCTTGGTACTGAAGCTACCTCTAAACGCGTTTCTTTTTCTTTTCCCCTTTTTTACACCGGTTACGACGTGGCGCTCTCTGGGTCGCCGAAGATTCTCGAAAAGGTCTCGCTGAAAATGATGCGTCTGCCTCCGATTATCCGTCTCGCTCTTGATGTTTTATAGAGCTTGATGGTTCAGATTCAGCGACCTCTTTTTGAAGTCATACTTTTTATGGGCAGATGGCGTTCCCAGTCTTGTCAGATGGAGATGTACTGTACCGCAGAAAGAACTGTCAGGAGTTCACCGCACACTCGGCATGTTTTATTTGGGCCGTGAACTCTTGTTCTGAAATAGTAGGTCATCGTGAAGAAGAAACGTGTGCTTTTTCATCCTCTTAGTAATTTATTTATTTGATAATTCATCTCCCGAAGGAGTTCAGACACCCTAATTAGTCTGATTAGCTCATAAAACGGAAATAAAAAGCCTTGTTCTCAGCTTTTACCGCGCCTTGCAATAGGATTTCTACAAACTTCAGGGCGATTTACCGGGAAAACATAAGCTAGTGTGTGATTATGAAATGAAAATAAAGTAATGATACATTTTAAAAAAATGAAAGTCAATGGTCTGTGAATCATTTCAATCTGTGTTTGCATAATTTTAGTCTGTAGATTTCAAAGCAGGGAGCGGAAAGTTCACTTCAAAGGCCGACTTCAAAAGCAACACTTTTAGATTTTGATTCAGAAAAAAAGATATTCAAACCATGTATAATTTATTTCCATCTTCCCAGTTATGCGGTACTTTGTGTTTGTCTCGCACATAAAACCTTAAAAAGAATCCAAAGTTTGGGTTCAGTTTGTAACTTGACCATTTGCAAATTACTATTTCATCGTGTCAAACACAAACACACACAATCTGGCTGTAACTGTAGAGACATTTAATATGAAGCACGCCCAAAGTTGAGTACAGTTATATGAAAATGTAATTTTTATTCATTTCAACCATAAGAAAATCTCTAAAACTTGTCCCTATTAACCTGAAGCTGTTTGAAAACTTCTGCTACATTAACTTGAAGCTCTCACACAAAATGTTTACTGCTCATATTTGCTTCTAGTACCAAATTAATGCAACTTCAATTCACATAATATTACTAAAATAAAATATATGACCAACAGTATTTATTCCAAATCTAAAATCAAGTGGAATTGTGTTTAAATAAAACATCTACAGCACCAGCTAAAGTAAAAATTCACTCTTTTTTTTCTTTTTTTTTTTGTTAAATCCTTAAAAATGAGCAGTTAAATTGCCGTGTGCAGTAGAGTGGCATACCGGG